CATGTAGCCGACATAATCAGCTGGGCCGTTGCACACATGAACAAAGCAGATAGAGGTGTGCTCACCAAGCTGGGCAACGAGGAAAAGGCATTTCAAAAATTCGCAGGGGTTTTAAAGGCAGAGTAGGGGGCTTCTGAAATGCGTGATCCCTAGATAGTGGAGTTAACAATTGTGACCAGAGTGGTCCGTGTTGGGCATTGTGGGACAGCTGCTTGAGGACTGTTAGGGTAACGCACAGGTAACACAGCATCTACACTCATGCTACATCAACCTCCATACATAGACCATGGTTCAGTGCCACTCAGGGAGCTGGTGTTGTATGCCGTCATAATGGGCCACTTTACATCTGTGGGAGATAAATTTAATTGTAGACTTGTGCACAATTACGTCAACGTAGGGTGGCTTACGTCAACCTACCTTTGTAGTATAGACCAGGCTTTACTGTAGCTATATCTCATGGGTATAATTCAAAAAGTAAGAACAGCTAAGAACTTAAAAATTGGATGGTAACAGTCAGCAAAACTTGGTGATGATTCAGCCTGGTGATATTCTGGACAAAAAGAGCCCTCAATTATGCTGTAGCTGTTTCCATCGCTTTATGCTGCCTCTACAGATGTTTTAGGCTTTGGAGTGACACACATAGTGACGCTCCTGGAATCTTCTTATATAAATTTTGTCTAAAATCTATTGTGATTATACCTTACAATGCTAAAAGAGATTAGAACAACAAATATTTATTTTTTTAATTTTTAGTTTGTGCATTTGACAACACAATATGGCTGCTTGTGGTTTGGCATCATTGTTTTAAGTATATAACTGTGCAGTTATCATAACAGAGAGAGAAACGTTTTAACAAATAGCAAAATATTATTGTGAAACCAAAATAATGTGAAAGTGAGCATAGGGGCAAGTACAGTAACTGACACTACTTTTTAACTTTTTTTTTTTAAATTGACATTAAAATACATCAAATTGGTTGTCCCTTTACGTAAAACACATGACAAAATTGTTCATTAAAAGCTACTTCCTTTTCAAGCAGAATTTTCAAAATATACGAATAAAATGTTTCTCATCTCTTTTTTTAAATAAATTTCAAATATCTATTTTAATTTAAACCAAAAGATTTGTCTCCCTTCCAAACAGGCTGGCTAATCTGCTATACAGGCATTACTGTTTATTTCTGTTACTATAGCACTTATGAGCCATAGTCATGGATTGAGACCCGATTGTGCCAGGTAGTTGTACAAAAAGATGGTCCCTGTCCACAATGCTGAGAATGTGACATTGAAAATCTTTCCATGGCCCTTGTGCAAATTATCACAAAGATTTAGTAAGGCTAAAAGAAACACTGACACTTTCAACCTTGTGTGCGCGCTAAGTTCAGAGTCTTTTATTAAATATGAATCTTTTGAGTTGAAAACCCTGTGTTCCAAAACCTTATCTGTATTGCTATAGTTTGTTGATATTGTCTTTGAAATAACGAATCTAATATTGGTTGAAGCTGGGTATACATTGTTTCACAATTAATTTTCATGTGAAAATTTAGATTAGTTATTATTTTTCATAGCAGAAAGTATAACTTACAATGCGATTGTAGAAGTGATTTGAATAATGTGAATTTTAAAACTGCAAAACATCTTTTATCCACAAGATGTCACTTGAGACCAAACTTCCCTGAAAATTAATGTTTTTGATCATTCACTGCAAAAGATCATTCAACTTCACATTCATTCAATTTTTAACTTCTGGGCAGGGAAGAAAGGTTGTTTCCAGAAGGATTTTATTTGGTTTGCTGCTTCTGATGAAACAGGTTAAAATCTTTTTAATAAAATAACAGTACTTTTAATCTGTAAAGCACCACTTATACAGTATTGCACACAGGATACTGTATTTAATACATTCATTTATTATTTAAATAGCTTTTGATGTAGTGTCTTGAACACTGTTAGTTTTTTAATGTGATTGTGTTGTTTCTGGAGGCTAGTGCGGGTGAGAGATAAGTAATCTGTAAAAGAGCAGTGTCCGTATGGATTTCCATTTTGCATTGTTTATTGCTTCGTGATGCTGGAAGTGCAGACTATTGTTTTTTAAATTATTAACATAGTTCTCAGAACTCTGAGATTTCAATATTTTAAATGGACTAAAACTGAATTTTCTGTGTAATGCTTCTGTTCAATAAAACTCTTCTGTTTATTTGTTTGTTTTTCCAAATATACTGAACTGAATTCCAACTCAGAGGGAGGGAAGAAATTTGATTTCATGTAAACTTATCTTGCATTTAAGCCGTGAACAGTGGTATACTTTTTCCGCAAATTTCAAAATTTTAGATAAAATTATACCACACACATTACACCAAGCATTCAATATCATAAGAATATTGATCATATTCACTGTACTTTTGTTCCCTCAATTGAAGTTAAACATTGATACTTAATTGTTATTAAAACTTCTTAGAAGATTAAATAAATCTAACAAAAGCAATTAAAGGAAACCAAAATGCACTTGGTAATTTACTGTGTTGGAGCTCAGCACAACTACCTTAATGTGGATAATTATTCTTCACCCCTTGCAATAAAATGCTGATCAGCCTTTAGGGTGAAAACTTCAGGAATTCCTTCAGTTTGTAATGTTTGGTACTTATAATGGTTAGGAGAAAGAGTTAAGACTTATCATCTGAAAATGAACACAAAGTTTGGCATGTAGGTTGTTAGTTTTGTAAGCTAATAAGTGGCAGACTGACTCGTGATGCTAGGCAGATGTCAGGCACTTTATTAAATAAAGAAGAAAAACCTAAGTAATTAATGAAGATTAAGGTCTTGGTCTTTTCTTTGGGGTCTGTGTGTGTGTATGTTTATTAAGAAATATTAATTAAAAAAACTTAAAATATGACAAATCGATATATCATGAGAACAGCCAGAAAACATTTTTACTCCAATACAGTTCATTGGGTCTACGCTGCAGGAGCTATGAACAAATATTGAGCTTAATTGTGCATACAGTACTGTTTTCCCTTTTTAACACTGTTGAATGAGGCCACCTCTGAAGTGTTACAGGAACAGTGCATACTATTTAAAGACAAGAAGCAAAGAATACTGTGTCCAACTGAAAGTGCAAGGGATTCCTGAGATATGTATGGGCTTGGTCTTTCCACAGAGTTGCACTGGTTTAACTAAAGGTGTGATGTGTGAACAATGTTAATTCTATTTAAATCTGTTTATGCTATCATGTAAGCTAAACACATATAGGCCAGTTTTAAACCAGTTTGTGTGTTCACACAGGATTTTTCACTGAACAAAATCAGCTTTAAACTGATTTTAGATTTGTTTGTTTTTTAAAGCAACTTCTGTCATAATCAAGACCTTAAACAAATAAATAAACAAATTACAAATTGGGTTATTATGTCTACTCTAATAAATTTTTTCTTTGGATTTTTAATCTCTAATCCAAAGGTTGGCACCTCCAGTAACATACTGGAGCATTGGTTCAATATTGGCTCAAATGGTAGACTGACAATTATTGAATCGCCTAATGATCCTGTTTAGTTTGTGAGATCAGACAGCACATGAAACCATCAGCATTTTAGGATAAAATCTGACAGAAAAATGTAGCTGCTGATGTCAAAGATTTTCTCCATCAGCAACTGCTGGTGCATAAACTTTCAATTTTGAAGAATAATTGCTAAAAATTATCTTAAATCCATTTTTCCTCCCAAAAACCTACAAATTATACCAGATTTCCTCAGAATTCACCTGCCTTCCATATTTTGTGTAGATAGACAATACTTGTAAAAGTGATCAGTCAGCAATGAAATGTCACATAGATTTTCTGGATGTATGTAGTAAGGATTATACCTTTGGGAGATCTTCCCCCACAACAATGTTTGTTTTGCATTATCAGTTTCTTCAAATATTAATTACATTTTTATTATACGTTAATATGGCACTTAGACTAACTGGTTAAATCTCAATATGGAAATGAATTCCAGGTGAATGATCTTCCAGAGATCTGAATTAATGGAATAGTAATGACTCATCAAGAGGATGTATATATATTTTTTAGAAAACTTGCACTTGTTTCACAGTTATTTTATACATGTTGGAATTTAGTAAAAAAAACAAATTAGTCACATTTTATTTAATTTGGAAGATCTGTCAAAATTTCTAATGCTTGAAAAGTATGTTTAGTAATAGAATACAGGTTTGTTTGTTTTTTCATTTTGGTACCTATAGATGGGAGGGATGCTCTCTATATAGCAGGAAAATTTTCATATTGCACCCATTTGTGTATGTTATAATACTTAGTCCTGCCACGAGTGCAGGGGACTGGACTAGATGACCTCTTGACGTCCCTTCCAGCTCTATGATTCTACATTGTAACACTCAGCTCTACCTGATTTTTAGTACAAATGCTTCAGTCTAGCACAAAGCTAATGACGTTAAATCTTTCTTTTAGTTTCCAATATATATTTTAGCTTTAGGTCCTAAGATTGTTTCATATTAATATTTTTCTAGTCCAAAATTCAGTATTATGAAAAATTGTTCATTATGAAATTGTTTAATATGAAAAATTGTTTTAGAAATCTGAAATTAATTTAAATTCTGCTTTAAAGATTTATCTTCAGTTTGTGTTTAATTTGTTCACATTGACTTTTGGTAGTGTAGAGCAAACATATAGTGTATTGAATAAAATAAAATGTTACCCAGTGACTTAAGACATGCAGATCTTACTCATGCAACTTGCATTGACTTAAACTACCCACGCTGGTTTAAAAAAAAAATGTATTCACCCAGCATTTAACATGGTGGTGGTGATAATGAAAAAAGTAAATAAATTCTCTATTTATGGCTAGATTTTTATTTTAAAGGTGATGCTTTTCAGTGATTGTTTCATTTGAGACATTATAATGTGATATTTGCTCTGTTTCTGTGAGTAATTTTGTGAGGACTTTTGTATTTCCCTTGTGATATCTCCTATTGAAATTTCTATCCTTTATAATCTAGGTGACTGTGGAGACCATGTTGTCATAATAAATACGAGACACATTGCATTTTCTGGTAACAAATGGGAACAGAAAGTATATTCTTCTCACACAGGGTAAGTGGTCCATGATTTGATAGTAAATGCTCAAAGAAGTTAGTAGTAGAGATTGATGCTGAAATCCATTTTGCTTTTAAGTAAATTCACTAACTAGAAAATGTGAATTCAAAGGAAATTCCTTTTGTGTGTCATAAATCTTATGTTCTGTTAAATTTCTCTGTCCACCCTGGCACAATATCTATTGCTAGGGAAATCATCTGAGATACAAGACGTCAGAAGAAGGCATAAGTTAAATTTGCCTAGCAAAACAATCTTACTGGATGGAGGTGAAGCCAAGAACAGGAATATCATTTTAATTAAATAGCAAAAGGGATTTTGTTTTGTAAAACACTAAAAAAGCCAACTAAACAAAAAACAACAATTTAAGAGCAGTGCAGAAGTCCTCTTAAGTTACGTTATTATACCAAAGGGCAAATAGCAAGATCAAGATCATTTTCCAATGCAAAAGGTTTAACTGAATAAAGATAAAGAATGCATTTTGATGTTACAGAATTACATCTGTGTGATTTAAATCTCTCTAAAAATCACTGAGAAAACTTTTAAGACATGAGGTACTATGGAGACAAAATTGATATATAAGCTGTCAATAGTGGTTATTTCCCAAGCTTCTGTATTTAGTACTGGCAGGAATAATTTGTTTCTGGGTGGAATTCTAATCAGTCAGTCAAAGCAAATAGGAACAGTTGCTCCCTTGTTTCGAACATGACCACATTAGTTGGTTTATCTCTAATTATTAAAATAGATCTATTCTGAAAATCTGAATAATTGTATGGAAAACATACAAGTGGAGTTGAGGGTGTTAGTAGAGGGAGGGAATTATAGTAGTATTCAGATAACTGCAGTTTTAAGTGAATATTCTAAATGTATTCCATATACTGACAATACTGATATTTTCAGTTCTTAAGGTTTTATGAAGTTGGAGCTGATCCATTGAAGTAATGGAAAGTCCCCCATTGACTTCAATAGATTTTGGACCAGATCCAAAGTTCAGATCAGTAGTTGGAAAAAATACCAAATTTGTAGGACCCGATAAGATTTATAACAGCAGTAAACACAACATCTTCCCCCATAAAGCTTACAATATAGGTAAATGGGATTAGGGAACAGAGGGCAAAGTAATGATAATGATAAGCTGTTTGTTGGGATAATAGCTTGCGCATGATGTAACTTGCCACCTGCCTAGCTGTGATCAGCTGGCAATATTTTTTTTAGTTCAAACCTTTCAGCCTTGTGTACTGATCTGCTTGTGTCCATGAAAGCCATTTATGTAAAATTTATAATACGCAGGTAACGTGTTACAAATATAATTCAACAGTGAGTAATAATGAAAAAAAGTGTTTACAGAATCAAACATTGTATTAGAAAAAAAATCACTGTCTTTTTTATTTTGTTTCACTGTCTTAATTATTAAATATGTTCTTTGGGTGTTTTTTTAGTTATCCAGGTGGCTTAAAACAAGTGACAGCAACACAACTTCACCTAAAAGATCCAACAGCGGTAAGTAACCTGTTTCATTTTAACTTTTGCTCTCCTTAGCTAGTTTAGGGGAACTATTTCATCATATTGACTTGCTATTCTTCCGATGGACAAAAAACTGAATCAAGCTCTTCCATTTGCCTTTTCACCAAACCTTACTTTAAAAAAAAAAAAAAAGAAACCCTAGTTACTACAAAGGTGGAAAATAGAAATTTTGGTGTTTAGTTTGTAGTTGGGATCTCCTGAGTGACCAGCTACTCTCTTCTCCATTGTATCACTCTGTCCTCTCCTTTATTCTGAGTTCTGTCTTCCCCTTCCCATCTTTTTCTTCACGTATTCACTCTTTCACCTTCTCCTCTGCGCTCTCTCTCTCTCTCCAGTTCAGCTCATGCTTAAATAGTCTCCTAAATAGGGATACTTTACTGAATTGGTGGCCTAAATCTGCATCACTGTCTCTGTTTCTCCTCATGCCTTATCTTTCTATGTTCCTTCTTTCCTCTTTGGTTTTTGTCCTTTTCCCTGATTTTTCTCTCCCCCACTCCTCCTGTGGTGGCCTCCCCAGCCATATGGCATAGGACAGTGGTGGGCAACCTGCGGGCCACATGCAGCCAATCAGGGTAATCTGATTGCAGGTCGTGAGACATTTTGCTGACGTTGACCATCCGCCGGCACAGTCCCCCGGCTCCTAGTGGCCGCGGTTCTCTGTTTCCAGCCAATGGGAGCTGCGGGAAGCAGCGGCCAGCACTTCCCTGCAGCCCACCACTTCCCGCAGTTCCCATTGGCCGGGAATGGCGAACTGCAGCCACTGGGAGCTGCAGGGGGCCATGCCGGCAGACAGTCAACGTCAGCAAAATGTCTCACGGCCCGCAATCAGATTACCCTGATGGGCCACAGGTTGTCCACCACTGGTGTAGGAGCACTGTTTATTCTTTTTTAATACAGCAAGGTTCACTGTTTAAAGTGAATTAGAACTCTGCTCTTCTTGAGGTGGGTGTATCAGACCGAGTGGGGAGTACTCTGCTTCTTGCTCTTACATGCACTTTAGACAGCATGAAAAATGGAGTGCAGACCAGAGATCCTTCACCAGATGAACTCCCTGCTGTGGGAGTAAAGCTCCTACACTGTGGATTACCATATCCAGCCTACTACACAAAACTAGAATAACATATGGGGAACTAGTCAAGAGGGTAAAACAGGTTAATCTAATAAAAAAACAATGAGATGGTAACTACTATGAAACTAATGTGTTTTGTATTAACCTTCAGTATGGAGCTAAAGTGTGACAATTTTAAGGACAGTTATTTCAACAAAATATATATAATGCTGTGCTTTGTAGCTAAAACTGTGGTTCACATTATGCTATTCAAATGGGCAAATCAAGGTTTTTAACTTGGTTCATTTTTGACTGACTGACTTCAGTTTTAAAGATTTGACCCTTTTCATAAATCACACACCCCAAGCCAGTCTTAGCAAAGTTGTACATCGCTTAATAATCATAGTCCTTTCTAAGCAGCTGGAGGAAATAATGCTGATTTTAAAAAGAGAATGCAAGACAGTACACCCGCATCTCTCTTGCAGTGAAATTCAACAGTGGATTCTATTGATTGATTTTTAGCTGTTTTCCAGTGGTATATCCTGAACATATGATGTATCCAAGAACTGAAAAATATTGATCATGTTGAACTTGGGCCCCTGGGTAAAATCTGGATTCAGTGTGTAATGCAGAAACGGGATACTACTACTTCTGCTGAGGGAGAAGATTAATAGGTATTAATTGATAGCTTAATATTATTGATTGCCAAGATTTTCAAAAAATTGTACCCTAACTGCGGATGTAGGCATTTAACTTCTGCTTCCTATTTTTGAAAATCTTGCCTGCTCTGGATATATAGATATGAGCTTTGTGATACTGACTTGGGAAAAACATATTGGAATCCATTCCCTTGCTTTTACTGAGAGTTGTGTGCAGCACCTCTAAGGATTAGACTCTGAGAGTATATCTACACTGCAATTAAAAACCCACGGCTGACTCATGCTAATTGACTCGAGCTTATGGGGCTCGGCTTAAGGGGCTGTTTAACTGTGGTGTAGATGTTTGGGCTCAGAGTAGGGCCTGGGCTCTGGGACCCTGTGATGTGGGAGAGCCCAAGCCTGGGTGTCCGCACTGCAGTTAAACAGCCCCTTAGCCCGAGGCCTGTGAGCCAAAGTCAGCTGGCATGGGCCAGCGACAGGTATCTAACTGCTATATAGACATACCCTAAGACACACATCCATTAGGGACTGATTTAAAAGCCCAGTAAAGCCAATAGAAAATTCCCCCTGACTTCAAAAGGATTTGGCTCAAGGACATTTATATAACTAATTTTAAAACACTTGCTGTAATCACACCAGATTATGCATCTGTTGAATTATTGTTGTTTTATTGCAGTACCATCTAGGAGATACAGTTATGGACCAGGATCTTGTTGTGTTTGGCACTGTACATATACAGACCAAAAAGAGAGTCACTGCCCCCAAAGAGCTTTGCTGCTTGTAGTCAGTTGTCTAATTGTACTCAATTAAAGTAAAACAAAAAAGCACTTAAAGGGGAGGCTCTGCTATATCTGTACTGACTTCCTAAACTATTATTTGTTCCATGTCCAAAATCAGTTCTCTACTTTACCATTTTTGTTTGAACTTCAGATATTAGTAGCTGTACACTGGGAGGCGCTATAGCCTAATTTATTTGCAAGGGCCTGAGAACTGGATCCCTTCTGGCATTCACTCTGAGTTTTGTTTTTCTTGCCAAACTCCCACTGTTCCCAGCGAAATTCATCTAAGACAAATTCAGAGCATTGCCAATAGTTAAAACATGTTTGACAAAGATTCAGCAAATGGTGATAGAATTCAGAACTTCATTGTATTTAGCGAGAAAGGTGTTCTTGTGTAACAACCCTCTAAAGAACTCTGGGGATTTAACTCACTCTGTGTTCAAAGCAAAAAATCTAATTTGATGGTTAGAGAGATCAGAAAGAGATCTGATTTCTGTTTTTGTCACATTGTTAGTTTAGAATAGTAGATGGTAGTTTAGTATGCCAAATATTCTGTCTGTGTAGCTATTCTTATAGATCATTCTGATCTTGATAAGTTTAGTGGACCATGATGGCATAACAAGCAGTTTATCTGCAACCTGTACAAACAGTGACATGACAAAAAATAATATAGGTAGCTGAATGTGCATGAAAGTTTCTGTTAACAACCTGGGTGTGTATTCTAATTTTTACTTGCATTTCACAGACAACAATATTTTGTAACTACATGAAATGGCAGGATGAAAGGCAGAGTGCTCTAGTGGCCCAAGGACAGGACCTAAATTATAGGAAAAATCTATAAATACTATGAGATTATCCTCCATATTGAGTTGATTCTGTGATATTCATTTATAGTTAAGAATCTATCAAGATTAGCTTCTGATAAATTTAACTTGAACAGTATTTTTGGAAGTGGAAATCTATGCTAATTCCCCCTAACCCCACCCCCCCAACATTGGCATTCTCCATGCTACTTCAATACAGGGTCTTGTTTAAACAACATATTCTAATCAGTGCTTAACTTTGTATTCCTTGCTATGTCTATACAAGTGCAGAACACAAACCTCTTATTGCAAAGTAACTAAACTATAGTATGATCTCGTCAGAATTAGTATGAAAATGTTTTATTAAACCATCTATCAATAAGGTAAGCAAGTTCAACAAGAAAAATCCTATTTATATTCTATCCACTTGCACAAATAGTATTCAGAAGTATTCTTTAGCTAGCAAACATGTAAATTAATTCAAAGCTTCTAAAACGTTTTAATACTAAATAGGTGTACTGCCTGTAATTAGCAAACTATTTGCTTTCACTTAAAACATGGTAGAAGTTATTTAAATTTAAATGATTAAACAATGAATAGTATTATATATTAAACAGTATTAAACAGCGATTTGTCAGTACTTTTGAAATTATTAACTGTCACAGCTGGGGTGTGGGCAGTCAGGACTAGTGGGTGGTGCCAGACTGAGCCCTAGAGAACCACAGGTCAGAACTGGAATCAGGAACCAGGCCAAGGGTCAAAGCCAAAGTCAGAAGCCAGGGACCAAATCAAGGTGAAGGAGCAGAATCTGTCATAACAGCTGGCTGGGGATCCACCTAGTTGTACAAATAATTTCCTGGTATCCCCTCCAGTGTTAACAATTCCCTTGTTACACATGGAATAAGGGATATTCAAAGAGGCCTGCACATCCCAGAGCCTCACAGTGAGGCACTCAGATAACAGCACAGGAGTTCTAGCTTCTATTGCTATACTGAATACATATGTTTTTTTCAGGGGGCATGCATGGGGGCAGGGAGCAGAGGCATATCCCCCTTCCCCCCCCAGTAATCGGTGGGGGTACAGGATTCCTCCGGCCCTGGGGACACAGAACATGCCCCTCTAAAAGCAGTCAAATTTAAATTCCTGTGCATGCCTCTGTGTTCTGTTTTTTGTGGGAAGGTAAGAGCCACAGAGAAATGGCAAGTTAAAGCAGCAAGTGACCAGCCTGCCTTCATTTTACACGATTCTGATGCATGGCAGATCTAATTGGCTCTAGAGGAGTTGCAATAGATGGTCAGAGTAAGCAAATAAATTGGTCTCTTAATTCTCTGAATAAGAAGTTTTAATGACTCTTAAATTGGCCCGTCAAGCTTAAGAGAAACTTGGAGTTGGCTTGAGAAAGATCAAATCTCTCACATTTCAGAGGAATTCTACTGGAGAAAGCCAAATGAAGCAAACAAGTTTTAAATCTATATTCTGAAACAGCCCGAGTGGATCTCAGACATCTTGATCTGTGTTACCCTTTTACCTTCATAGAATATTAGGGTTGGAAGAGACCTCAGGAGGTCATCTAGTCCAATCCCCTGCTCAAAGCAGGACCAGGATGAACACCAACTCAATCATCCCATACCTTCAGTCTTAACCTATTTCCAACACATCAGATCTATAATCTTCTTGAATTTTTAGC